CAGTGTTAAGCGAATGGCCGCGGCAGCTTATTTCGTGAAGCTTGTTTTTTTATTCCTCGCTTACGTAAGTTTTTCAGTGCATTAGCAGGGACCATTATTCACATAGATAAGACAGTAGTATTAGCCTTATTCCTAGGAGAAAAACCAATAGAATGGAGAGTAGTTGGGTTATTTAGTTGGGTTGATATTTCGGCAACATGCCTTTAGCAAAACAATGGCAGAAGTGAATTCAAAATTGCCTGCCGGTAATCCCACTTGATATTTCAGTCTTTTTTAGACAGCAAGGCACAGTTTTTACAGGGCACCATCATTCAGGGGAAAAAACAAAGAGCGAGCTCCAGCCATCACCACGATACAGCGCCTATCTAAGGATTAGAACACGCGAACATACGTGTACATGTAAACGAATTCAAGCAAATGGGCATCACGCATCACCTATCCCAACTATATCTCCGTTCTCCTGGTTTTTCTCCGAGGAATGAGGCTAATTATACTGTCTTATGTGTGATTCCTGGTCTGTTTCATCTCATATTTGATTCCTGATTTGTTTTATATCAGTTTTTATAAAGATTTGATCCGAATCTTTTGAGTGGATGAATTTCTGGGATCAGAGCTCACGTTAGGCAGCACTTGCTGTGTGAGCGTTGACCCCTACCATCCGATTGCGCAATTCCATGTCAACGGCAGAATTTGGTAGCGAAAGTCCAGCGTGCCGCAATGCTCGGCACCGTGCATCCTGCCCTCTGATGTCAACTGACCTTTAGCGCAGCCGCTGCCACCGGCCGCAGGCCATACCTGTCAAGGGCAGAGCGAGCGCCTTAAGCGACTCGCTGCCAGCCCGTCACGGGTGGCTGGATCGGAAGGCAGGCGCTCCAACCGACGGAGCCACCGGGACGGACTTCATGTCCGTCTAAATGCATGATTGCTTGTGTATTCTAATTGCTTCTGGAATCTTCTTCAGCCAAACAACTTCAGCATAAACTGCAACTACAGCTACAGTGCCAACAGCAACGCAGCTGCGACGTATTTGCTTAAGTTGAAGTGCATTCAAGCGAAGTGGTTCTCCAATTAATCTAGTGAACCCCGTGCCATGTGCGTGTCACCTAGTCCGGGTGGGGGCACTCCTCGTCTCGATAAAGCCCGTGAAGTCGTGATGTGCGGTGTCGCTAGTCCGGTGAGGAACTTCTTGTCTCGATAAATCCGTGAAGTCGTGATGGGGTGTCGCCTAGTCCGGCTGGAGGCACTCCTCGTCTCGATAAATCCAGTGAAGTCGTGATGTCGGTGTCGCCTAGTGGCTGGAGGCACTCCTCGTCTCGATAAATCCAGTGAAGTCGTGATGTGCAGTGTCGCCTAGTCCGGCTGGAGGCACTCCTCGTCTCGATAAATCCAGTGAAGTCGTGATGTGCGGTGCGCCTAGTCCGGCTGGAGGCACTCCTCGTCTAGATAAATCCAGTGAAGTCGTGATGGCAGTGTCGCCTAGTCCGGCTGGAGGACTCCTCGTCTCGATAAATCCAGTTGAAGTCGTGATGTGCGGTGTCGCCTAGTCCGGTGTGAGGCACTCCTCGTCTCGATAAATCCAGTGAAGTCGTGATGTGCAGTGTCGCTTGTCCGGCTGAGGCACTCCTCGTCTCGGTAAATCCCGTGAAGTCGTGAGTCGCTCAGGGCCGCCAAAAGGGTGTCAGAGCGGTGGCGGTGCTGCGCTCTGAGGTGTGTTAAGAAGATTTCGTTCTTGTCTTCAAAGAGGTATTTCTGTAGAGTCATCATTGTGTAGAGCTGATTTCCGAGGTGAGATGATGATGAATATCATGGTATTCGATAATGTTCACCATAAAGGGTCATGTGGTCGTACGGCAGTCGGACTGGCTGAGACAATGCACTCGTCATGTTAAGTAAAACGCGAATTATCTATCTGGGCCACTTGTGTAAACGGTGGTTTCACATGGGACACAACTGTTATTAAGGATTTCTACGACTTCTTTGCGAACCTGATTGCGTTTTTAACGAGAACTTGCAGCTTAAACGGGAGGAACCTCAATAAGTGCCCCATGTATCCGTTTTGACAGAGAAAAGGATACGCCAGAGCGTGTAAGTTCACACAATGGGATCAGAAGATCTAACATATCGCTCTCCCCATTAGTGATATGACCTGCTTTTTAGTCGTATGGGTGTGTGCGGTAGGCTAATGCAGTATGGGGGTGGCCACGAGTTTTAAGACCTGGTCCAAACCAGTGGTTCAATGCATTTCGAAATCGGCGCCCACGCTAAGAGTGCTTGTTGAGCCCTGAGCCGACAGAACTTGGGTTGTCCGCAGGATTTTGGGAAAAAACGCTTAAACTAACCGCAGGGCTCGGCCCCGTCCTGCCCTATGACGTCATCTGACAGTTAATGCGGCCGCTCCCGGCCGCGGGCTATTCCAGTCTTGGCCTAATAGCGAACGGCTATAAAGCGACCCGAACCCGACACTCTACAGGTCTGTAAATCGGATGACAGGCGTTTAACCAGCTGACCTGTCGGAGAGGACGGACTGAAGGTACCACGTGTGGACGGACAATTTAAAGTACGGTTGGCGGTGCATCTTCCACCCGGTTGTTCTATTTAAAGGGTGGCGAGGAAACGGAATAAACCAAGTTGTACGGTGTGCTTCACAGCGAAAGGTGAAGAAATGTGATCATGGGGATCGCAACGAGTGTGTCGAAAAATGATGGTGAATGACGGAAACTATGAAGTCATGAATGCCAAGTGACTGAAATATCTCCCCGATCTACCTTCCCCCTTATCGCGGGCGTATAGCGGAGAAACTAGAGGCGCTTAGGTCTTGAAAGGGCAGGGCCAGGGTGGGAACAGCACCGAAACGTATTCAAGATGGCTATTTAGCTCAAAGCTCATACAAATGTGGAAACTCCCTGCCATAATTATGGTTGCCGAAAAGTGGATGACTTTGACCGCATGCCAAACCACACGGTCGTAACTGCTCAAAGCGGTATGGTCGCTGCGATGTACGACAAAAATAGCCACGCCTGATGCGTTCCACTGCTTGGCTCGTGTGGTGGGTACAAGTTTGCATTTCTCTCGGACGCTCGTCTTAGACACTTATAATCCGTACACAATGCGCTCCACTGCTTGATTCGTATGGTGGATATAAGTTTTGCGTTTCTCTCTCGGACGCTCATCTGAGACACTTATAACCCGCACACAATGCGTTCCACTGCTTGCTCGCATGGTGGATATAAGTTTGCATTTCTGTCCGTCGCTCATCTTAGACTCTTATAACCCGCACACCATCGGTTCCACTGCTTGGGCTGCATGGTGGATATAGTTTGCATCTGTGTCCGTCTGCCCCATCTTAGACACTTATAACCCGCAACCACAATGCGTTCCACTGCTTGGTCTGTATGGTGGATATAAGTTTGCATCTCTGTCCGTCGCTCATCGTAGGACACTTACACCCGCACACCAATGCGTTCACACTGCTTGGCTCGGATGGTGGATATAAGTTTGGCATGCTCTGTCCGTCGCTCATCTTAGACACTTATAACCCGCACACAATGCGTTCCACTGCTTGGCTCGTATGGTGGATATAAGTTTGCATCTCTGTCCGTCGCTCATCTTAGAACTTATACCGCACACAATGCGTTCCACTGCTTGGCTCGTATGGTGGATATAAGTTTGCAATCTCTGTCCGTCGCTCATCTTAGACACTTATAATCCGCAAACAATGCGCACCACTGCTTGGCTCGTATGGGGGATATAAGTTTGCATCTCTGTCCGGTCGCTCATCTTAGACACTTATAACCCGCACAAAATGCGCACACTGCTTGGCTCGTATGGTGGATATAACTTTGCGTTTCTCTCGGACGCTCATCTGAGACACTTATAACCCGCACACAATGCGTTCCACTGCTTGGCTCGTATGGTGGATATAAGTTTGCATCTCTGTCCGTCGCTCATCTTAGACACTTATAATCCGCACGCAATGCGCACCACTGCTTGGCTCGTATGGTGGATATAAGTTTGCATCTCTCTCCGTCGCTCATCTCAGACATTTATAACCCGCACAATGCGCTCCACTGCTTGGCTCGTATGGTGGATATAAGTTTGCATCTCTGTCCGTCGCTCATCTTAGACACCAATAACTCGCGCAAGATGCGCTCCACTGCTTCGCCCGTGTGTTGGGCTCGAGTTTGCATCTCTCTCCGTCGCTCATCTGAGACACCAATATTTCGCGCAAGATGCGCTCCACTACTTCGCTCATGTGTTGGGTTCGAGTTTGCACCTCTCTTCGTCGCTTTTCTGAGGCACCAATAGCTCGTACTGATGCACTTCACTGCATAGCTCGTGTGGTGGGTACGAGTTTGCATGTCTCTCCGTCGTTCATCTGAGACACCAAACAGCTCGCGCATGATGCGCTCCACTGCTTGGCTCGTGCGGTGGGTACGAGTTTGCATCTCTCTCCGTCGCTCATCTGACGGCTGCAGGTGCGCCGCAGCGGGCGCCGCCTCCGCGGCGTGCACCACGTTCACCGGTACCGGCTGGGGACGATGGGTATGGGGCTGGGGTTGGGGACGATGACCTGGGATGAACCGCACTGGTTGCCGGCCGGGTTCACAGCGAGTGAACATGACATGACCGCAGGGGTCGCCACGAGCGCAGCCGGTACTGAGGTCGGCGCGACTCGGACCCACGCAAACTTTTGGGCAGGTTGGGATTTTTGTGCTTTGACCACATTGAATGGCACGCGAGCGGCAAAAAAAAACCGGAACATGGTCACCCACAGGACAACTTAAGCTGCCTATGTATGCAGTCAGTTCACGCTAACCGGATAGCGCCACACAAACCAGATACCAATGAGACAAACAACCAGCCACCGCCGGCGCACAGGACTTCGGCAGAGTACGGACCACGCGGGCTGTTCGCCGCCGCTGCTGGGTTTCTCTGCAGCGGCGGCCGCAGCGCCCAAGGCGATGGCGCGCGGTAGAGCTTGCACAGTCCGGCCCGGCCGGGCGGCCCGGGACGGAAGGCAGGTTCTGCCCGGGCTGCGGCGGCTCCGGCGGGTGCGGAGAGAAGTGGGAGTGATCTGCTCGCGTACAGGTACGGCAGTAGCGGCAGGGGCCAGACGACCATGTGTGAGTGCGTATGGACGGTGGGTAGAAATATCGATTCGGGTAGTGCTGGTGTGGGATTGAAATATCCGCGCTTCAATGCTGTTGAGCGTAAAGGTGATATGCATTAATTTTTTACTTTCAGTTTTCATTATGTGGCTTACAATGAGCCTCTTTATTCTTACAACAATTCACACGTTTTTGAAAACGGGATTTCTAAAGTTGTAAATGCGTTCTTCGTTATAATAATAAAAGCGCAAAGCGGTGTCCTCGGTGCTGCTTTCGTTATGACTGAAAAAAGCAAACTAAGTCTCATATTTTGTGCAATGAAAAGCCCGATGCGCATCTATCGCCTATATCATTAAGTTTTCCACGTATTTTGCCAATCGCAAACTTTTAATCATTTCAGCCCATGTCGTGCGTCTTAAATTAATAGCCATTGATGAACTTTGGGTCCTTGAAGAGCGCCTGCCCTCAGTCGTTTACGTTGGCCGTGATGTGACGCGCAAACATGCTAAAGAGGGTTATAAAAGCAATTTAAGCTTACCACAGCAAAGACGTGCCTTGTTGGAAGTATGGCCTGGGGCTACAACGAATGTGCGAGCCAAAATCAATCAGAATAAGCTAATATTTTGGATATCCGCACCCTCTGACCACGAAAACTCCAAGTACCTTGGCATGACATGACATGACACACGTGAATGTGCGACATTGCGCCTGCGGAGATAGATTTTAGCTGAAACAACTTGCAAGTTGTACGATGCAGTAGTGAAAAAGGATGGCTGCCCACTTGTGCCAACGGCTGCAAGATGTGGTTGCATCACCCAACACACATTGGAGTATGCACTTATTCATGTATACAGCATGCACGTATGTATACCTGTTTATGTTGTCACATCACAAACCATTGCTTTCACAATGAGTAACCGAAACATGTACATCACGTTTGTGCAGTTGCATCGTCGGTGTGACGTATCTCATAGAGCCGAACATGTTTAACCTGTTTTGTTTCCAAAGCTAAAGAGCTAAACTGAAAGCAGTTTTAAGCTATGTCAAAAATGTCGAATTGCTGCCTTGCCATCGAACTTGATGGCGAATCTGCTACCCTGGAGCAACGACATGCCGAATGCCTAGCACTGCTGTTTGTATACCCATCACTGCTGTTATATATCTAGCACTGCTGTTTGGCTAGATTTGACTGAGCTAGTTTCGGAATGAATCGGTCGATTCTGAACTGGATACTACGACATTGCATAATGGGACTGGGGAAGTTTTCTAGACAGGAGCCGATGGTGGTGGCAATACACAGACAAAACATGCCCCAAATTAAGGTCACGATGCGGTATGTACCTAATGACCGACTATTGAGATATGCTGTGGCATGTATCTGTTGACATCATGTATCTGTTGACATCATGTATCTTGACATCATGTATCTGTTGACATCATGTATCTGTTGACATCATGTATCTGTTGACATCATGTCTGTTGACATCATGTATCTGCTGACATCATGCAACCGACCCGCGGTTGCATGAGGAAATCTAAAAAACACGCGATATATGCAATAATTTCTGACGATGCACTTCTAAAAGCGATAATAAAGACTCGGACATGTTGTAAGACATACTCCAAGACATGTTCCGGACATGTTGTAAGACAATTCCATCGTCTTTTTTAGGCCGGCGGATTTCAGCGTTGATTCGTGCTGGCGCTGCTTATCAAAAGAAGTTTACGGTTCCGGTTAATTAAGCGATTACTCTTTTGCGTGGTATCGGTCATGTTTGTCTGTACTAAAACGTCATACCTGGCAAAAGGCCCCCGACGCTGCCATGCTGGTTGTGACCAAAGTAACCAGCTTTGTCAGCATAGGGCAGATGATGCCGGTAATTGTCGCCTCGGACGGCATGCTGGCAAGTATCAGGGGGATCACGACATCGGATAAGGTGAACACTGAAATGCCGCTCTTTGCACACATGCCTCAATCATCCCTCAATCAAACGGCCTGACACAACTCAGCACGTGATCACTTACTGAAAAACTCCGTAAGGACGCATCCAACAAGTTAAAACAGCCCACGCAAGTTCTCGGTTTCCATGTGATGACTTCGACTTGGGGCGGCGCCATGGTCTGTGTCACCATGGTCTGTGTCACCATGGTCTGTGTCACCATGGTCTGTGTCACATGCATGGCTGTTCAGGTCAAGAATGATATCATCAAGCTCAGATGGCCAGCCGGAGTACTCGAAGAAGAATTTCAGCCCAACGAGGCATTGGAACATTGCCAAGATCATCCTGCTCATCAGCATGGGCATGTGTCTCATGTTGGTCGTCGAGAACATGCGACTCCGGTAAAGTTTGCCGCGCTTCGCTTGGCACTATAAGCCATCGATATCGTCGTCCACGATGAGTGTGATAAGTATCATTCACGGCGTGATAAGTATCATCCACAATTAGTTTGACGCTTTGTCAGCTTGCCTGCTTCTTGCGGTATTTCGCTTTTTTGGACTTTCCCGAACCTTCTCCACCCATTGTTGCAATACTATCCGCACAGATTAGGCTGCCAGTGCCTGAGGCGCATTCGTTAAGGTGGGACCGAGCCAAGTGATGACAAACTTAGCTGATATCACCATGTAAAGAATACCCCGAAAAGCAAATAAAACACTCGTCCTTGGAAAACCGTACGCATAGCAATGCATTGAAATATCCCACCCGCATGAGTCAAGCGAGAAAAAGTTAATTATTGACATTGGCATACATATTTAGGAGCGACATGATTAACAAACTGATTGGATTTCGGACCATCAGTGCTTGCCAGCTTTAAAACGGTGCCGTGACTTGCTTTGGCATAAGCTAACTTTTTGCTGACTGCGAGGAAATGGAATTGTGACATTGCCAATATTTTGTATGGCCGGTCCCAATATGCTGGAACACATGTCTGTATACATCTGCCCGCCCCGATGTGTTTGGGCCTAGGTAACATCATGTTGTGTTTGAGGCCGGCTACAGAAAACGTGACGTTGACCGTCTAGCGATTCAATGCTTGCGCGCTTATCGACGGACAGTGCTGGAGCCGCTTGATTATGTTGAGAAGGTACGGTCATCTATAAGGTTTAGTTAGTTTTGTCGCCGTTTTAACCGGTCTCCAAAGATTATTAGAAATCACCAAAATGGCCACTTCTACCAGATAAAGTGAATCAAAACCGAAATGAACACTTTACACCGATCGGATTATTGTCATTAGTATGGACGTCTTCACCACCGGTTTAATTAAGTCGCTAACAACAATGCATACTTAAGTCACCAAATACAAGAAGGAAATGTCTAGAAAGAATAGTTTCCACCAGACAGTCTGAGGTTCCACCAAATAGGTGAAAAAACACCGATGCATAGCAGGAAATCAAGAATTTGTACCAGAATCTAAGAATTCGGCCGACCAGCAAAAAACGACCATATTTTTAACCAAACTGGCATCAACTTGGGAATGTTTTGGAACGCGGACGCCATTATTCACCCTGGAGTTTTGTTGTGAGAGCGAGTCGCTGACCAGCATTGAGTTTCGTACATACCTACACATCCAGGGGCATATCTAGCTGATCGGGGGGGGGGGGGGGAGGACAGGGGGAATATCCTCCTGCTAGGCCCTGAGCGACTTCGGGACCATCGGTAGAAACTATTAAGGGCCCGATATAGGGCCCGAAGGACTGGCTGGGGACGACCCCGGGGCAAAGGCCTGGCATTCAAGAGTCAGCCAAAGAGACTCGTCGCGCCTGTGGGGGTCCCCGAACGACAAGGGCGTCTATGCAGGTCCCAGACCACCAACGCTGAGCAGTCGGCTTCGAGTCGGTTTGGACCCTGGGGTCCTATTTACGAAACAGGGACAAGGCCAGCGTCCGCAGTTGCTCCTGAGGGCCTGCTGCGTGCGCCGAGGCCACTGAAAACAAGGTGGCTCCATCCAGGCACAGAGTGTTTAACAGTGGAGCCTGTGTCGGCAAGGGCCTCTAGCCGACCAGAGGCGCATTTTGCTGAAAAGAACAAGACGGGAACCTGAATGTCAGAGAGCCATTTGCGTTGGTCGAGCTCCTCGTTGCCTGACATGGAATGGAAATACAAGAAACTTCGATGAAATGGTCCACAATAGCATAATAGAAGGGTCCGGCCAGCCACGGACTCTATGACCAAACAAGGGCTCTTCAGGGTCCCTAAATTTAGGTAATTTTTGTGATTGTCGCCCTACCAATGTCCCTTGTCCTTGTCTTTGTCCTTGCCCTTGCCCTTGACCCTCGTCCGTGCCCTTGTCAACCTTCCCGCCATCCGAAGTCGGTGGTTTTAGCCCTGATGTGTGGTCGGTTTACTGTTTAGCCCTGATGTGTGGCCGGTTTACTGTATCGCATTTTAACCTGGCACCGATGGCGTGACTCAACCTTCTGGTGATAAACTAGCAGTCTCGGCTTGCTTCTTCAGTTGGTGATCAGGGTGTGTATTTTGGTCATGTAATTGGCCATTCCGGTTGTCCACTTAATTTTGTGCCGTTAGCTTTAAGTCTCTGCCTGCTCTGGCTGCGGATATATAAACATCATTCCCCCCAAATAAGCCCGAAACGGGCGGAGGCATGATTTGTGCACGATTGCGCAACACGAGGGATGGTCTGCACAGATCCGTCCACGGTCTTGGTAGTACAATTGCCTCTTTTGTGTCTTCACTAATCTTGCTTGTTCTCGTGTCCTTGTCCCTTGCCTGGTATTTGACGTTTGGTTCTGTTTCCGTCCATCTCCTTCAGCTGTGTTCGCGTTGAAAAGTGCTGCAATTCACCATGCTAGCCGAATGGGGACACGGTATGATAGCAATTGCACGGAAGTAGCTTGACGATATTATCATGCCATATCCATGATTATTTCTTGTCGCTGAAATTGTCTGATAACGACCAGCGGCTGCAGAGACTTGCAGCTGTAGAAGCTACAAATGTACAAATAAAGCTACAAATGTTAAAACGACCGCCAAAAGTGTACAAAATAAAGCTATAAAAAGTCAAAACGGAGCACCAAAATGAAAGCAAAATATTCTACAATAGCTACAAAAGGTTACAAAACACAAAATGTCTGGGTGGTTTCATGTTAAAACTCATTCTGTGCGCGATCTCGGTCGTGACAATGGTTTTTCCTTCCTCGTTATCAAAGCAAATGATAACCGGAAAAAGAATACATGAAACAATCCGAACGAGCTAACCAAAAAGCTCACAAAGTATCCCATATGCATAGATATTGGGTTACTATCTGTAAAACCAGCGTTGTCATGGCAATGACTGCGCCCATTGCGCCCTTCCCCACTGTGCTAAAACCATGACGCAACAAATTTTTTACGTAAGTTGCTAAGTGCAATTGCGAAGAACATTATGCACATAGATAAGACAGTAGTATTGGCCTCATTCCTCGCATATAAACCAGGAGAATGGAGATATAGTTGGGTTGCTATTTCAGCAGCATGCCTTTATTAAAACAAGAGCGGAAGTCATAGACTTCAGCTATTTTAGTCATAGACTTCCGCTATTCCGCCGGGAGTCATAGACTTCCGCTATTATAGTCATACACTTTCGCTAATCCGCCGGAGTTATAGACTTCCTCTATCGTTACGATAAGGCATGTTTCCGAAATATCAACCCAACTATATCTCCATTCTCTTGGGTTTTTGTCCGAGGAATGAGGCTAATACTACTGTGTTAGCTATGTAAAGAATTTTAAATGCATTTTCCGGGACACTGGCGTATTTAATACGACTAAGGCATAAAGAGGAATGAACACGTTTTGCAGAATTATGTTGGATGCATTCGAAACATTTGTGTCACTGCTGTTCTACACATGCCATTTTTTTTGCTTCCAGTTGTGCAGTTTATTATTCAGTTTGGATATCTTAGCTTTCCAGCTTGAACTCCAACCTCCTGCGAACGTTTGAAGTAATTGCGACAAAATCGGTGAGAAAACGTTTCATGGCATATTTTCGAGAGAGGTTTACGCAATTTTTAAGTGCACAGCCTCCCTCGCCGCCACTCATTGCAAACTATGTCCCTGTTTGGTTCCCATATTACCAATGCAGATATGTCATATGTCCACATCCGTTTTTTGCAGTTCGGTGGTAGACATGTCAATACAAGAGGCAAACAAGATAGATCTGCGGTCTGAAGTCCATCAAAACGGCCAGAAGGAGAAAGCTTTCAAGCCCGTCACAACCTCAAACCAACACCCAGACCGGGAGCAAGGAGGAAGTGCCCGGTCTTCACGCTTCCGAAGACCAACCGCTCGTCCAGGGAAAGGAGAATGGCCTCCAAGCCCACATCGCCAAATGGACGTTCCGACACTCAGGAAGAGGACGAAACCCATATGCAAAATCGGCGTTGGTATCCCATGATCAGCAGGGAGCGTGACAGAGCTGAGAAGAACTACGCTCGGCTGCATTCTCTGCTAACCACAATAGACCGGGACCATCGGTGCCGGCGGCTGGCTCTGGTCGGCGGCAGGTGCTTGTTTCTGCAAGTCCATGCACAGCTACCAGTTGGGAATGCGAGACGGCGCCCAAGCCAGTCCTGCTACGACCTGCTGCGGCCCCAACTGTTCCGTGCTGGTCGTTCGGCATCGCTTCGACTTCAGCTTCGACGTCGGCATGGAGGACCTGGGACTGCACCGTCCACGCCTTTGACCCCACCATGGGCTTTCACCGGCTTCCGGACGTCGGAGAGCATCCACTTCCACGGCGTCGGGAATCGGGGCGCAGGACGACTTCGGCGCCCGCTTCCCAGTCGCCAGCCTGGCCACCATTATTCAGCTGATCCCGCTGCAGCAGGACATCATCGACTACGTGAAGCTGGACATAGAGTGCAACGAGTGGGGACGTGCTGCAGCAGCAGCTGACCTCCTCCGGGGACCTGCTGCGCGTGCGGCAGCTCACAATCGAGTTTCACCTGTGGCAGTGGAAGCCGCAGCTGGACACTGAGGAGGGTTTGGCCCCCCGAAGCTAGCAATGTGACGGTGACGGCGGAGAACGCCGCCCGATTCGTGACCGTACTGACCCTCGCTGTGGGAAGCAGGCTTCAAGCTGGTGTACTCCGCACCGTACGGTCGGTGTTTTAGCTACAGCACAGGGTGCTTACCGTTTTTATTCGAGACGCTCTGGATAAATGCAAACATCAGCTAGTTTTCCAGAATCATTTTCAAGTGGCATGCACATCACATTTGTGGTGAATTAATTACTGAGCCATGTATATTTTTCCAACTTTTGATTCTCGAGTGGATTACTGAAGGTGATCATGTGGTCGAAGTAAAGATTTGGGTATATCTTCCGGACTGTATGGAGCTTCACCTGACATGAATTGGCGCTTACTCTTAGCTTACATTATGTCATGTTCCTGATGTTGAACACGGCCTTTCTTTTGAAGCCTTTTAGGTCTAGAGGATCATCGTTAATGGTGCTATATATGTGCTTTCATTGTTTTTTTCAGGTGAAAAATTCATTCCTTGTATTTCAGGCTTGACCCAAATACAAGGAATGACGAGTTTATCTAACTCTGCTTTTTCTTTCGATCAGACCATTACATTCCAGAGATAAACACGAAGTCACGCTAAACACCCGGGATCGCAGAGGGGTGGAAATCAGGCAGCATCGGAAGTCACCGAAAATAAGGTCAGTGTGGCAGACCTGGGGTCGGTGAGGGGAGGGGCGACAGTGGCCTGAAATCGCTTTCCACTTGGGTGAAGCGCTCATGTTATTTCCTACAGGGAGATGAAAAAATATATAATTGCTGACGTTTAACGCCACACGAATGGGCTGGAACATGCAACTAATTTTTCTGCATTCATTCCTCTTTTCAGGTCCCGGTTGTTGTCCTGCTGGTTTAGTATCCTGTCCAAGTGCAAAATTGTCTTATTCAAGACTACCTCACCATTCACTGTCCGTTAAGAACTATATTTGCATATTTTCCAATTTATTCGCGAATCACATTATCACACGAAGACACTGCAATGTTTGCATAATGTGGTGATTACTCAGGATAGTTAGCCGGGTTTGTTTGATTTCAGTCGGCAGAAAAACATCTGAGGCGCCGAGTGATCTTTAGGAACTTGCCTCAGCCCAGCTGCAAAGCGTTCACAATATATCGACAAAACCGCGTTGCCACGATCATAATACAGCAGACGCTGAAGGCGACAATTTTACAGCAAACACAGGGGTTTTACAGCAAACGTGGATTTGGAGGGAACTAGACCTGCCAGCAAGTTTTTCTTTTCAAAATACGTAAAACAAACAAGATGCCCCCTCCAATGGGTGCTTTCATCCCCCCCTCCCCCAACAGATCCTGAACTCATGACATGTGTCGACCTTTGCGTATCATCTTGCCAATACACTTCCGCAACGGATGCACCGCAATGTAACACTCGCCTCTCATTTGGCCCGTGTTGAGACCAAGGCTGCCGAATGACTGCGTTTCGGTAAACTTAGCAAAAAATATGACACCACAGGAGTCGGAAACGTGCCAAAACCTCTCGCACACTTACCCTTCTAATTATTTTTTGCGGGCTTCATCCCATCAATGATTAAGCAGCGATGCAGGGGCATTAAGCGAGCGTTCAGTGTCAGCAGGTTATTGTCGCCATTATTCGCCATTATTGACGCCAGCGATCTATCAATATCTGGGTTGGTTTAGCGCGTTGGTGGGACTGTGCTACCGGTTTCGAGCATTTCCGTCATTGCCTGGCGCACAGCAATGCACTTTGGGCAGAACTGAAAACCATATCATAACTCACCCTGCTTCGCCGTTTTTAATAACACGGACTGATGGGGATGTAGCCCTTGCCGGTTTCAAAGCAAGAAATATAGAGCCTCGCGAAAAATACGGCGAATTGGTATATACGAGATTGCGCATTGGTGGCAAGTCTTCCGTGGCTAGGCTAAAATTAGCCAACAGGCCAGGTCAAAGGTCAAATTGTTGTGGTTACAACTATTTTCGGCTTTACATGCTCATATGTACAGGACCATGCTTTCAGGAGACACAAAACTTCAATAAGCGTATTCGTTATCTAATACGTTTACAATCGCATGCAATTATATATGTTTTGAGCGCACGTATATCAGGCAGGGCTCCGTCGATGCGACAGTGTCAGCCGCCGCTCAAGTCCGTGGAACCGTCGGTTGCCTACCTCTGCTCGCACCGGCAGTGGTTCACTGTGCAGTGTCCTAAAAAAAACATCGCAGCTCAGAAACCAGAGTGGTAAGGGACCCGTGTTTGTGAACCGCGCAAGAAATATGTTAAGGGCTCACGAAAACTTATACGCGATTAGACAATTTAACGAAAACCTACACCCAGAATAAACCTTAGGCAGAGGAATGGAGGCTCATAAGCCCTCCTATGAGAGCGGATGCTTACATTTTAGACAATAAAACGATCACAAAAAGCGCTACGCTAAAACGAGTGCCTCTGACAAGCATAGACGTGGATTCTCCGGATAGCCATGTTGTGGACACATATTTCACACATTGCCCCGCCGAAAATGATATTTTCGGTCATGTTTTATCCCTCAGAATCCAACTGACTCCTCCAATTCTGATTCCCCCATCCCAGATACGTGGCTGCTCACATGCCACATACAAGACTACACCAGGCGCCTGAGGCCACACAAACCGATATGAAAAGCGTTACCCATGGCCACAGTGGTTATCCAACATCTATTGCAAGGTTATCCTTAGTTTGGCATCAACGTACGCACACGGTAAAGACAGCTATGGCATTCACAAACCTTTCCGGATTCTGTCACAGGCTATCAAGTCGCGACGAGAAGCACCAACGCAGCAACGTGAATAACCATTGGGCCCATATCTAGATGCCACCTCCCTGTGCTGCCGGTTAGGTATTAGACCATGGGTCTAAGTGAATAAAGTAAAAACTGGTATGGACTTGTGTGCTCACCCAACCACCCCCCATGACCAATCACAGTAGTTGTGCTATGGGCTGATGAAGTTTGTTAGCAACGATTACATCGGCATCAGCAGATTCGAATTCCAAATGGGGATGTCGAAATCGTGCAATGCCTTGACTGAGGGCCAACAATCACTGATCCTTGAACGGTAAGCAAATAATAACTTGGGTGTCGAAATGTCGCGAAAGCATGCCGCAGGCTCAACGTAAATTCCTATACGATATGGATATGATATACATATAATATATATATACATATATATATATATACATAATATATATATATATATATATATATATATATTCGGCATTCACCGCAGCTCAGCGATTGCGTCTTCGTCACGTGGATCAGTCCACATTTCAGCCCTTCTTCTAACATGGATGTCTCTCCCCACAAACAGGTCATCGTATTCTGATATGTATTTACACATTCGCAAGTGGTGGCCAATAAACATCACTCAGACGCGAAACCGATGTGAGCAGCATCACCATCATTATTCGACGTGCATCACAACGATAGAAGCCGACGCAACATTCTGGATTGAAGGTAAAACGTCAGCACATTTCTGCCGTCCAAAGGTAAACCCCATATGTTAATTTCTGGCCATGTTGGTTTTTATGTCACCTGATCCTGGTACTCCTGTTGGATGCGGCTATTTACACAATCAGTTGATATTTTTACAAGCTTTTAGCACTTTCTTTCAGGTAAGAGTTTGTGAGAATTTCAACTATTGGTTTGAGCATCCGCATGAGAAGACGAATAAAATGACATTAAAAACACAAATGGCCAGAAATAAACATATAACGATTTACCTTGGAACGAAATATTTGTAATGCAGAAGTGTAATCAAAATGCCATGCATCATCAACGGGCCGCCGCCAACGCATAACAAAATAAGGCGTTAACTTTGCTACAAAGACATAACCTACGTACAGAAAATGCCTCTCGAACGCAATTCGTAAGTCTTAAAAGTCGCTGATGTCACCATTGCCATCACGCGCCGGGGGCAGAGCCCTTCAGCGCATGCGCCGTTGCAACCGGAGCCTCGACCACCAGCTGACCGCCGCGCGTGAGGCGGGAGGTCACGGCGTCAGGGTCGGCACCAGGGGGAAGTGCAGCCCTGCGCATGAAGCGGACCATCGTGCTCCCCATCCTCCGCTCGCGTTTCGCGGACAGCCTCCCACCGTCAGCACGCTTGTCCCTGACGGTGACGCGGACCTCCTGCGGCAGGAAGTCCCGTACGTCCAGGGTCAGCCGGAACGTGTCCTCCAGGCGCCGCCCTGGCACGTCCGCAGCGCCCTGATGCCGCGCCGCAATATCGTCGGCTTTCTGGCGCCGTTCCGCGACGTCTCCAGCTTCCTCTGCGTCATCCTCTTCCAGGACCACGACCTCGCTGTCTTCTGACTCGGAAGTCGTGGAGGCGGTGCCTTCCGGCTCAGGCGCCGGGTGGTCGGCAGCGGCTTCGTCTTCGGCTTCACAATCATCAGTGGCATCAGCCACGTTTCCGGCATCCGGTTGGTGATCTTCAGTCGGAGCAGCTTGCGTTGTACTTGCATCCTGTGCAGGATGATATGCGGCCACCTGCTCGGCGCATCTTCTACCTCTGGCGATGCAGCACGGTCTACAGCGCCCCGCTCGCACTCGTGAATGCCTTCTTTTTCAGAGCACTCGCTCGAAGCAGCGGCAATCAGCATCCACTGCCGCTTCCGCGTCTCTCTCTTCGGACCGAGCGGCTGGAACTTCAATCTGCTTATCTTCCACGACACATGAGTCCAGATCGTCGTACGTCACCTTCACCGTCTTCGCCTCCAGTGCCAGCGGATCGACCGCCGGCGCCTCCAGCACCAACTGACCTGACCGGCTGTGTCTCCAGGTCAGGTCGTCGGCCCGCACGCTTTCTGGCAGCGTCACCTTCCGCACCATCTTGCTGGATACGAAGCTGCCAGCTGAGCGCTCCTTGTGACGAGCACGCACCGTCACCACCCTGCCCGACCGCCGAACGTTTACCTCCTCCGGCCGGTACCCCAGCGGCGTCGACCACCAGCCGGAACCCCTCGCTTCCGGCCGCTGTTTTTCCTCGTGGCGGCAGAGTCGCTTCGTTGCCGTCGGCTCCAGCGCCTGGCGGAGATGCCGCTTCAGCGCCCGATGCGGTCCGTGGACGTGCGGGCTCCAGGTGCAGCCCTCGGACTCCGCCAGCCCAGACCACGGGTCCCAGTGCCGCATTCGGCGAGGCTCGAAAAACAGCAATGTCGCCATGTTCGTCGTGAGTGTGCACTAGCCGCTTGCGCGCGAGCGGCACCCAGCCGATATTGGAGTGATTCTGATGAGGCGGAGTGCTGCCGCGCTGTTTTATGTTGGGAGACACTGATCGAGAACGGACGCGAACGCTCCCGTCGCCGGGCCGCTGCGCGATTTCCTCGGCGCGCTCGAGAACCGTCGGGAATCCAGCTGACCAATGAGAATCAGCTATGTTTATGACGTCATACAGTTGCCCAATAACACGGGATTTCGCTATGTGACGTCATACATACTGGAGCATACTGGTGAGACAGATCAAGCCAGTGCGCTATAACAGCCGTACGATTTTCGAGGGGTTCAGAGATTGCAGTATGTACTGCGACTATGTGAATAACCGATGGACGATAGCGAAACAGTGAATAACCGATGGACCATAACGAAACAGCAGGAATATAACATTCCCGCTTTGAGTCCCCCTACGTCGAACCTTTACATAACTTAGCTGGACAAGTTCTGCTGATGAAGTCGCGATGTTCATTAGCGTAGGAATCACACACCACAATCGGGAGTGACTAGTACAGCCGGCGATAGCAGGCCTGCGTATGCTCCAGGAAAACCATGTTCATTACCAAGAGAATTACACAGCCTTACAGTTAAAATTTGTTGGTGTTCTTAGGATTAGAATTTGCCGTACCAATAGAATAACACATTTGCTGGTTTCTTCGCTGGCCTCCATTCGCGTTGCATTGCTTCAATCTTAAATCTCTTGAAAAATCTTGCTTTAATCTTAAGCTTTCTCCCAATTTCGTGTCTTTACCATGACGACGCAGGAGTGTGGCGCAATCGCTGTGCACGAACTTCTGATGTTGAATGAACAAGTCTCAGGCGCCGATCGTGGTTACCAGATACTTCTGCTGGAGGACAGCACCTGTCGTTTAGCAAATGCTCCAGATGTCGCTGCGAGCACTACCTGGACCCCCATCGAACTGAACAACCGGCTTAGTTCGCCGTCCTGCCGGAGATGCGACAAGACAGCGAAGTTCTCGCACAGAGCCTCTCGAGGCGGCCGCTGCGTGGCGCTGCCGTCGCTGCGGCAAAACTCCCCGGCGGAGGGCGTGAGGACGAGACTGGCGGCATGATTTACGGGAGGATGCGATATCAGGACCACTCAGCCTCATGGGTATAGGTATGGTATGTGTAGGGTATAGGTATATGGGTATTGGTATAGTCACAACTGGACCAGGCTATTGAGCAACAATGCATCAGTATGAGTCAGGACAGGAGTGAATCCCCGCTGTCTGGGCTGAAATAATCATTTCCAGTCAGCTGAAACAGCACAACACTTTCTAGACAGTCTCATCTCGCCCACGTCCCGGCTGTGACAAACGGCGCGACAACCAGCTGTTTCACAGCCAGCATGCCCATGTCCAATATGACCCATCCTGTGCCCGCCTGGCAGGTGGAGGGCAGACGGGGTTCAATGGCACAGCTGACGCAGACGGCGGAGCGGTCGGTGGAGGGTCTGGAGGTCGTCGCTCCCAGCTCGACCCCTTCTGAAGTCATAGGGCGGAGGTCAGCCATGCCCTGGTGCAGCTGTGCGGCACCGCCCCAGGCTACACATGGTCAAGGCAGGCTGGGGCCGAAGTCGTGGGTGTCTATAGACATAAGCGATGGCATTCCCGCTGAAATTTATTCACCTTATCACTATCCTTGGCACTGAACCCTTTGACTGTTGGCACGAACATTATTCCTCGTCCTGATTTGTTTTTTTCCATAACGGGAACCGACTGTGTGGGTTAGGGGCGGGGAAGGGGCCCCCTGCCGTTTCCAAAGCAAAGAAAAATAGAGCCTCGCGGAGGGGAAAAGCGGATTGGTCTCAACGAGCTCATACGGATATTACTGGATTATTTTCGTGTTGATGAGTTACTAATTCATCGCATCATGCCAGGTCGAGTCAGTTTTTCTTGACATTACGCCTTTGCAGCTTTACATGCCAATATATTCGAAATTTTGCCATGTGGCAGCATAAAACTTACACATACGTAATCCTTTTTTGATCCTGGTCCGAATGAGTTGGAGTTTGTTTTTTTAGTACGTATGTATTTTCCTGAGGATATGAGTTTGGGATGACGCGCAATTGCCCTAAAATTTCTGGTGGTTTATGGAGGCGGGAGGGGGGCATTCATCCCGCATGTTTCGACACCAAAAACGAGTCTAGTTTTTTCGAACACGAACGGCTTTTTCAGATCAATGCACGGCGACCTACTGCCGACGCGGGCGGCGGACAACAGCCAGCGAATCTAAACAGTGACGCGCGGGCAGGTCGATGCTGTACACGGGCTTATATATATATATATATATATATATATATATATACATACATTATATATATATATATATATATATATATATATATATATATATATATATATATATATATAGTTAAAGATAGATAGAAAGATATAGATCTTTGTACCCTTTTTCTTATCATTATGCAACATCATGCTGTTGGAGTGGACTCGGCGCGTTTAGCAACCCAAGAGCTTTACGAGCTTTACAGCCGATAAAAGCTTTACAGTTGAAAGAGATGCTTGTGTCAGTCCCTCCACGGACTGTCAGAAATTGGACATTGTTGATCAGCTGTCATTATCAAGGAACAATCACAAGGAATTTAAGGAACGGTCACAAATGCTGCAGCGTTCTAGGAAGAGACATGCCCAGCATATGACGTCAGCTTACACATCACCCAAACAGCTGACGTACTGTCAGGCGCGCGAACTGCGGGGCAGACACCAAGCTTGCTCGTGCTATGGCATGACAATGCTTCAACCGCTGGTACAAGGTAGTTCAACATGCTGCACCCTCCCGGAGATTGAAACGTCATCGAGACTGGACTTGTGTTATGGACCTCGCTCCGACTTCCTCGCGAGGATCAGGCTTACTTGAGACGTCGTTCATCTCAGATACGTTTGAGACTGAGACGTCGTTCAGTCAATATAATTATGTTTGCACTAAGATGTCGTTATATTGGTGCTCCCTGGTGTATTCAAAGGATTTAAGTGGATTCTGAACTCAAAATCCCGAGAAGCCAGAAGCTAAAGCTCACTCTGTTCTCAAGCGCAAACTTGACTATTCCTTTCAACAGAGACTGAAAACGGGCGGATGACCGTGCGCTCCCACCACGCGTGAACAACAAACGCTGGTATTTCAACTTATCACTATAATTATTCCCTTGAGGAAGTTCGTTCCGTACCTATTTTGCCACAATGAACGTGCCTTCGGAATTACCGTCCGAACACATTAAACACTATAACTTACAAACATCTGGCAGCTCCGCGCGCCCAACGAAGCGTTGCTGCCAGATTGCAGCCATGCTTCGGAAGGGTGCGGCTCTGGTCTTTCAATTTCCACTGGACTCGATGGCATTTTAATGGCTTTGTGAAAACATCGACACAAGTGATATCTTTGGGAAGATTTTACATTAGCTGGAATCTGACGCATTATTGACGTCTTTCCGGCGATACTTGGCGTAAATAGCGCATTACCGTAATTGCGGGGAATGTGTATGGGACCTCCTCATTTTTGTCATAGCCAGGCTGATGAAACGTTCACTATTAACGGTGAACGAGTTGGTCAAGCAGACATAAACCATAATCTAACAGTGAAAGCAACCTATTTGTATTATCAAAAGATAATTGAACCTGCACCATGGACAGAAATATTGAAGAAACCCTGTTCGATCTATGCTTTGAAAGTTCAGTTCGGTTCGTCAAACGGCCTGGGCCAATCTCACTGTGACGGTGACTTTGTGGGTATAAGATCTCTGTTGCCATTTGTGTAACTGCTGGTGGGACGGAGTGGGGACCTCCAATTTCACCTGCCATTTCGTCTGCACTAAGCTACCCACAGATGCGTGCTAGTTATGCTTTCCCTTCAAAACGTAATTCTCACGTCAACTTGTCCCCTCTATAAGGCGAATCGTTACATCAATTTACATGCCACTCTGGCTCTGTTTATTCTTAATTTCAGTGACATTGCTAGACGCTATCCGTGATACAGATGTATGCATTGTTTTGTTTGCAAACATTATGAAATTTGATTAAAATGCTTCACCCCGACTGCACATACATCTCAGCTGAAATCTGATTCCCTTCCAAGACCAACTGTCACCAGCATAAAAAGGACAGGGTGATAAGTACTGGCGATTCTATTATCAAGTAGGTTTACCATACATAATTGAAGCTCTAATGAAGCCACATGAAACGTATTGTGGTGCTTTCTTAAAGCATGGCAATGGTGCATATTAGTCTTACTTCTCTTAATATCCGCACGACTCCGCCACATCCCCTGCATCAAGGGGTAGGCTTTTAAATGGTCTGGCACGGTTCTGAGCCTCTGACATATTACTTAACTGTTTGATCATGGTTCTCACTATTTATGGTAACTGGGAAGGGTCATTCTTCATAAAGAATAAACACCTTTTTTGAGCTACTGACGCTCAGGCAAGCTTAAGGCGAATTCATATGCACGTCCTGAAATTTCCATTTATTTTAGAAGCTGCTGTGGGCACCAAATGCTTCTTCCAAGGAACCAAACTGGTGCTAAGTGTGGGCTGTAAAAAAGCAAGTGTAACTAACGTTATGATGAGCTAGTATGTTTTTAAAAGGCTTAGATTCATTTGCAGTGAAAAGAAATATCATTCTGGTAAGTGGCCTCTGGTCTGATCTGGTAACAAGTAGGCAATTTTAAAACTGTTCTGCATCTGCTCTGTGCATGCGCCATGCTCCTTCGCCGCGGCAGCTATGTGCTATAATTGATGTGATGTTAATTTTGATCAGATCTGTATAGCTGCTGATCATTCGACCCTACGGCTCTCAACAGGAAGCATCCCCTTGATATACCACTGACCCACTTGATCCCTTGACCCACTGCGCTGGCAACGCACCGGCTGTTCAGCAAGTAAATTGAAAAAGACCCTGCGTGTC